GGAGGGCCCCCAGCTGCCGCGCAGGGGGGGCCCCCGGGGGCCCCCTTGAGGCTCCCGTCGCCGTAGCCAGCCCCATGGTCCATACCCTCTGCAGCCATTATCTTAGCTTTCGCCGGAAGGTGGGGAAGAGCGCTTGCTGCAGCAGCAGCAGCAGCAGCAGCAGCGGGGAAGGCGCGCGCAGGCAGCGAGGGGCACAGCAGGCTGAAGAGAACAATAAACTGCAGCAAATGGATTTATTTCAAATTTAAAAGCAAAGGAGAAAAAACTATGAAAATGCGCTGAAGGGGCCACCAGCGTGAGGCTAGCCCGCGCCTGTGCTGCTGCTGCTGCTGCTGCTGCTCCTGCTGCTCGTACTGCTGCTGCTCTTGCTGCGCGCTTGCTGCGGCGAAATTCCCCGAATTTTTTAAATATTTTCTTTTAATTGGTTTTTAATTTTCAAATTTAACCCAAATTTTGTCTTTTGTTGAAGTAACAACCGGCAAATAAGGCGCAGCAGATGCAGAGCCTCATCGACTGCTGCTGCTGGTGCTGCTGCGCTGCAGCTCGCCAGCAGTCAGAACAGATGTGCCCAAAAAGCCCCCCGCTGTTTCCTTCCTTGGAATCTTATTTATTTATTTTTTAATAATTAATTTAAGATTTCGAATTTGTAGAGAGGTTTAAGCCGGAGCTTGTTGCGGCAAAGCAGCAGCAGCGCAGCAGCAGCAGCAACAGCAGCAGCAGCAGCTAGCAGTTCGAGGCCTCACTCTAGCAAAAGGCAGCAAAGCAATAAAACTCTTTTTGCTTCAAATAAAATTAAACAGCTTATTTTTAATGTCTGACTTGTGTCAAAATGGCCGTTGAGAACTGCAGCAGGGTGAAAGATCTGAGGCTTGGGGTTTAGGGTTTAGGGTTTAGGGTTTAGGGTATTGCCAGCGTCCCCACAAGCCCAACTTGCATCCCAGCTACAGCTAGCTAGCTGCCGCTAGCTACAGCTAGCCAGCCACCACTAACTGCAGCAGCTGCTGCAGTAGCTGCTGCAGTAGCTGCTGCAGTAGCTGCAGCAGTAGCTGCAGCAGGAGAGCTAGCCACCGCCAGCTGCAGTTAGCTGCAGCTAGCTGCTGCGGCTAACTGCTGCAGCAAGCTGCAGCTAGCTGCAGCAAGCTAAGCTTCTTTTAAGACACTACAAGCCGGCCCCGTTGTCGCTAGCCAGCTAGCCAGCTAGCTGCCTATCTAGCTGCCCGCCTGGCTAGCTAGCTAGCCAGCTAGCTAGCTGGCTACATGGCAAGCTGCCTGGCTAGCCATTAAGCTAGCTGGCTAGCCAGCTAGCTAGCTAGCTAGCTAGCTAGCTAGCTAGCCAGCTAGCTAGCCAGCTATGCAGCTAGCCAGCTAGGTAGCAAGCTAGGTAGGCAGCTAGCTAGCTAACTGGCTAGCCAGCTAGCTGGGCAGTTTTCTGGGTGGCTAGCCGGCTAGCTAGCTAGCTAGCTAGAAGCCCAATGAAGTGGCTAGCCAGCTAGCTAGCTGGTTAGCTAGCTGGCTGGCTAGCTAGGCAGCTAATGGGCCTTTATTTGTCTTTTAATTTATTTCCTTTAATTGTCTTTTTCTTTTTCCCTTTTTTCTTTTTTTTTTCTTTATTTTCAATTATTTCTTTATTTCCTGTTTGTGCCCTTTTCGTTTTCTTTTATATTTTTTAAATTTTAAATCTTTCATTTCTTTAAATCTCTTTATTTCTTTTTTTGATTTTTTATTCATTTCTTTTTATTTCTTTATTTCTCTTTTTTATTTATTTCTTTTGTCTTTTATTTATTTCTTTTTTGTTTAATTTATTTCCTCATTTCTTTCATCATTTGTCTTTCATTTATACTTCTTTTATCTTTTAATTTATTGATTTTTCAAATATATGCTTGTTTGTCATTATTTTTTATTTTAATTTAATTGTTTTTAATTTATTACTTTTGATTTACTTATTTACTTAATTTATTTTTCCTTTTCTTTTCGTTTCAAGGCGCAGCTGGGGTGTATGGACAGCTGCAGAGCACGGAAATTCGAGTTTCAGATTTCAAAGCACCGGGAAGCGCCTCGGGGCTCGAAATGCATCTTTTTGTGTCCCCTGCACTCCCTAAAGGTTCTTTTGAGAGAAATAACGCGAAAAGAGTCGCAAAAAGGGGAAATAAGGGGCAAAAAAAGCAAAAATGGGGGAAAACGTTGGGAAATAAACGAGGTAGCGACCGCCGCAGCTGCTGCTGCTGCTGCTGCTGCTGCGCTGCAGCGGAGCCTCAAGGGGGCCGCTTTGGGCAGCCCAGGAAGCCCAAAAGGGCTTTTTCTTGGACTTTGCGAAGAAACAAAGTGGATTTTGAAATTAAAAAAGGCGAAAAGGAGGAAAATTTGGGGAAAATGAGGAAGTAGCGGCTGCAGCTGCAGCTGCTGCAGGCACACACGCAGGCTGGCTGGTCTCGACCGCCGCGAGCGCCGCCCGCAGCTTTGTCTGTAAAATGTCTGCAGCTGAATTTGTTTAAAAAGCAAAAAAGGAAAATAAAATGAAATTAATTCATTTAATTTCACAAGTTTTGCCTTTTGAAGTTCCCATTTGGCCGCCCGTTGGCCCCGCCTCCGCAGCTGCTGCTGCTGCTAGACCCGCCGCCGCGGCTGCTGGCCTTCTCCTTTTTGAGGTGTATGTACACCTCAGCTGCTGCTTTTTGAAAAGCTGCTGCTCTTTACAACTCAAATTAGTTTCATTCAACCCAAGCCCTTTTAGATCTTGGTTGCGGGAGCTTCCTGTGCGCCACAGCAGCACGAAGTCCGCCGCGCCGGCTGCGTCAGCAGCAGCAGCAGCAGCTGCACCAGCAGCAGCAGCAGCAGCTGCAGCAGCTGCAGCAGCAGCTGCAGCAGCAGCTGCAAAAGTGCTGGGCAACTGGTCTCCTTCAATATGAAGCCACGGTCGCCCGACAGCTGCCAGGGGACTGCAGGGGCCCTCGCCGCAGGCGGGCAGCTAACAGCAGCAGCAGCAGCTGCTCCTACTGCTGCAGCAGCAGCAGAAGCACCCGTATTATCTGGAATTGCAGCAGCAGCAGCAGGAGCTGCGCCTGCTGCGGCGGCAGCAACGCGGCCAGTAGCAGCCATGACTCGCGCAGCTGCAACAACGTGCCCTGCAGCAGCAGCAGCAAGAGCAGCAGCAGCAGCAGCAGCAAAGATGAGCTGTTTTTCGCGCTCTCGTTTAAAAGACTGCAGCCGTTTGCTTCTGTCTTTGCGCACCCCTTCATCTTTGCTGCTGCTGCTGCTGCTGCTAGCGCCGAGCTGCGTTCTGCTGCAGGCGTCCCCTGCTGCTGCCGCTGCCCCCAGCAGCAGCAGCAGCAGCAGCAGCAGCAGCATTGATATGGACAGCATAGGGGCAGCACTGGCCCTGGGTGGGGATGGTCCTGCCCTTAGCTGTCCCTCTTCTCCCCTAACAACTCCGGTGTCTGTACGGCTTGTGTGTTTTGCTGCTGCTTTCTATCTCGCCGTGCTGCTGCTTCTGCTGCTGTGGCTGCTGTACCAGAGGTTCCTTTTGGCTTACCTCTGCAGCAGACAGACAAAGCTCGCGCAAGCAGCAGCAGCAGCAGCAGCAGCAGCAGCAGCGGTGGCGGGCAGCAGAAAAGACCCGGGCACCCCCTCCAAAGAACCCGAAGCAGCAGCAGCAGCAGCAGCAGCAGCAGCAGCAGCAGCAAGGGCGCGGGTGTGCGTGAGCCCCATAGAAGACCACGGGGGGATTTACATGCAGCACTGGGGGCTTCGTGTGTCTCCTGTGGGCTGTCTGGTGTATGCTGCTGCTGCTGCTTCTGTGGTTCTTTCTGTGCTGCTGCCTTTCATTTCGGGATTTGCTGCTAGCTCTTTGCTGCCAGCAGAAGTGTTTGTGCCTTTGCTGCCAGCCTCTGCGTACGAGGAGGTGGGGGCCTTTTCCGCAGCAGCAGCAGGGCCCGCAGCAGCAGCAGCAGCAGGGCCCGCAGCAGCAGCAGCAGCAGCAGCAGCGCCGGCCAGCCCGCAGTGCGTCAAGCTGCGAGTCTACATCTTTGCTGTTTGCTTCTGGTGGTGTCTTCTGTGGATGTTGGGAATTCATTTAGTTCGCAAGAAGTTCCATTTGCTGCTGTTTAGTCCTTCGTGTCTTTCCCGCTGCTCCCACCTTCTCGTGGACAGAAAGCTGCAGCAGCTGCTGCCCAGCAGCAGCAGCAGCAGCACCAGCGGCGGCAGCAGCGGCAGCAGCAGCCCCGCCAGCACCCGCTCAGACGCAGTCGCGCTGCCCCCGAGGGGCCCCCATTTGGGGGGCCCCCTGGGGGGCCCCCAGGGGGGCCCCCAGAGGGGCCCCCAGGGTACTAAGGGGGCCCCCAAAATAGAATTTCTTTGCGATAGAGATGACTTGGGGGAGCCTTTGCTGCACTCTTCTGTCTGCAAAGTCCGCCGCTACTACCCGCAGCAGCAGCAGCAGCAGCAGCAGAAGCAGCAGAAGCAGCAGCAGCAGCAGCAGGGGGAGGAGAGCTGCTGCAGGTATGTCGACGTGGCCCGAGTGCGTCTTGTCTTCGATTCTGCTGCTGGCTATTTCGTGTCTGCTGCTGCTCAGTTGGAGCGGAGGGCCCGAAGGGCTGCGAAGGCTCTAGCAGCAGCAGCAGCAGCAGCAGCAGCAGCAGCGGGAGAGGACGCGGAGGGAAAAGCGGGAGCAGCAGAATCAGCCACAGGCGCAGGCGAAGCACGAGAAGGCCAAACAGCAGCAGCAGCAGCAGAAGAAGAACAGTTTGTGGCGTGTTTGGAGGCGCAGCTGCTGTCCGCAGCAGCAGCGCAGCAGCGGCAGCAAGCTGTGGGGTCGCGTTTGCTGCAGCAGCAGCTGCGGCCGCTCTCGAGCTTATTTGCTGCTTCTTTTTTGCAAGATGAATTCTATTTAGTGACTCTTATGGCTCTTTGGTATCAAGTCTTTTCTCTCAACTCTCTGCAGTTCTGCATTTTGCTGCTGCTGCCTCTCTGCGAGCTTATCTATGGAGTCTTTTCTCTCCACACTGCAGAGCAGCAGCTAGCTGTCATACTGCAGCGCGAAGCAGCAGCACTTGCTGCTAGAAGGGCCCTCTGTCTCCGCCG